CAAGAACTAAACAAATGCACTTATTTAAGAAATAAATTACATTAAAAAAGAAATGCCTAATGGTAAATCTGCCCTGATCAAATAATCAGATAAATGTTTTTGAACATAGTTAGTGTCCTTTCTGCGCTTCAAACTCTGGACTCCTTAGTTTATCTATTATTCATTATTTGACTTTGTTCTGATTGTTTCTGTGTAATCTATATTCTTTTTATTATTGTGTAATAGATCAAATAAATGGTGGCAGACACTCCTCCATCTCTCTGCGCTCCAGGACGCGCACCGTGAGCGCGCTCACATGAGAGGTCCCTTTAAGTTTGCGCTGAGTGCGGCTCGCTGTGTCACATGGACGTGATCTAATGAAGAGGCAGCAGCGCGGAGCCGGAGCGCAGCAACTTCCCAGCTGATGGGGAGCGGGGCGGAAATGCGCGCAGCCGTTCCGCTGTCAGCGATCCGAACCGGGCCGAACCGAGCCGAGCCGGATGGGACTGCACCTGCCAGCCGTTTGGCACGCAGTGAAAACCAGAGAGAGGCCCGGGAAGGAGGGGCAGCCCTCAGCGGGACTCAAGTTATTTGCTCTGCGTGTCGTTGCGCAGGTGCGTTTGAGCGCTTCCACCCCGCAGCAGCTGCGGGGACAACCCGCATCTGTCCCCTCCCACCACCTTTTTTTATTATTTGGTGCGGTTTCCAGGGAAAATGTCCCGCCATCCTGCGGGATAAGAGCTTCCAGCCTCTGGTCTTCCACCGCATCAGTGTGCGTTCCCGCAGACTCCGCGGTCGCCACTGTCCGCATTCCAGGTGGTGTTGCGCAGATAGAAATTGAACTTGGAGTAAACAACCTGGGGGGGTGGGGGGTGCTCTGAGGCGACGCTTCTGGCCGGACTGGAAACATCCTGCTGCTGATGACTGATAAACAGCGCGAGCGCAGAGAAACTACCTGCTTCCAGGTAAATGATGATGATTGGCTGCTTTCCCTACTCTATGATTATTATCTACTGAATCACTGCAACTTCTATTATAGACTTTCACTGCTTTTAATCAGAGCAATAAAGGAGCTTAAAGTTTAAATTGACTTAATAATGAAATAAAACTGGGAAAAGGATCAATGCCCTGCAGACTGCAGGCCTGTCCGGAGATGGAACCCGGGGCCAAAGGGCCCCTGATGGAGTAAAATAAGATAGGATGGATGGATCCAGGTCAGTGGCGGTTCTAGACCAAATGTACCAGGGGGCCAGCTGGGGGCCAGGGTGTTCATGGGGGCCCAGAAAATCATGACATAAAAATCAGAGCAAGGGGTTCAAATATATTAAGATAGCTGCAATTTCTATTCAATTAGGTTTAATTATAATTCTATGTCTTATTAGGTCAATGTACATTAAGAATAGGAATGCACTATATAATCGGCCCCCTATCGCAGGGGTGTCAAACTCATTTTCACTGAGGGCCACATCAGCGTAATTGCTGTCCTTAAAGGGCCAGATGTAACTTATAAATGTAACTAAATGTAATTGAATGTAATGTAAAATAAATTTAACGACTCCTTAATGTTAAATAACTCATTATTTATTATAACTTATTCAAGTGACAATTACAG